GTTAAGGAATTAATTTACCTTCACGCACTGAAGAGAAATTAGTTTGCCATCTCGTATTGAAGAATATACCCAGATGGGTGTAAGGGGATTGGTTTACCTTCTCGCACTAAAAAGCATGGAAATCGTTGTGAATGCAACTGAGGAAAACTAGACTGCTAGACAACTGAAATAACCCTCAGCTTGTGAGGTCTAGCTCGAAGATTCGCTTAAGACTTTAAACTGCTTGTGGAACCTGCGTAAGGGTGTATGTGGGAGCGCAGTGAACTGCTCCCGGACCTGATTACGCCATCCTTTGAGGCTCGATTGGTGATTAGCTGAGAATCTGAATGGATTGCAGTTTTCATCACTGCTAATTCTTTCGCTAGTAGAGGCTACTAGTACTAGCCTCTTAATTTGCTCCGTCATTGGATGCTTTGATGTTTGAAGTGTCATGGGCTCAGTCCGCATAGATAGGAGCCATATGGCAAGATCAGCACGGCTGGAAGCCGTGGTGCGAGATTGGCATAATTGGGAGCCATGGTGCAAGATTGGCATAATTGGGAGCCGTGATGCAAGATTGGCACAGCTAGGAGTTGTGGTACAAGATCGGCATGGTTGGGAGCTATGGTGACAAATCGAGGGCAACTGGGAACCGATAGCTGGTACGGATGGCTGTGAGCGCAGAGTTGTGGCTAACTTGGGCCAGGTTATGTGTAACAAGAGGAATTCGACCACTAGGTCTGCGATGCTTGGTTACTGGTGATGTGCTGCTTTAGTAAAGAATCATCTAGATTCATGGAAACAAGACATGCACTCTGGTTCTTGGTGGTTAGGCTAGTGTGTCCTTCTAGTACCAGCGTACCCTTGATACGCCATTAGGTTGAGTTTCTGCATTTGTTTGAATAAAAGTAATCTTTGTATCTGCCAATTTATGGGGATGGTTCCATCTGCTTGATCTCATTAATGAATGGTAACCTACTTATGTTGGTTATGTCTCGTTAGAGCGTCTTGCTAGTAACTTCTTTGTGCTGGAAGTCATGCAATCGTTCGGTCAGAAGCAACTCTACTTCTTCATGAATTTGCCTTTGTTAGGGGTAACGGAGCTTTCGGCTATCCCTGGTCGTGCCTTACTGGTCTAGGCTGCTTTTCCTTGTATTTGGCTCGTTTATGCTGCGGTTACAGTGCATGTGCTACGGTCTTAGCAAGCGAGCGAATTACTTGTAGGTTGCCAGTTGAACTTGAGCTGAATTGAGTGACTGCTTTTCTCCGTCCGTCATGCTACATAGTTCGATGTGAGGTAAATGATGCTCTTTGTGGGCCTAGGCACAAATGAACACTTCGCCTGAAAGGTTGTTCATATTGATTATTGAAGTGTGGCCTCAATCGTGAATGTATGCTCGTTTGTGAGCCTAATCAGGAGTGCACACTCATCCGCCCACTAAGACGAGAATATATGTTATCTCAAGGCCTAGCCGGAAGTGTACACTGCTAGAACACCCAGTTCGTGGCTGGTCGAGAGGCTACCTGCTAAGACCTTGCTAGAGAGGGTCGTCATCTGCCCTTGTCCTGTTTCGGGATACCTCGTCTAGGGCATGGTGCATCTCATTACGCTACAAAAGATGATTCACCAAGGTCGTTTGTTGCGCGAAGGCGCTAGTCAATTCTATGACTTGTTAAGACAAATGTTGTTCGCCAAGCTGGATAAAAGAGTTTGGACGATATGCGTCTTATTGAGTAGTGGAAGTGTAATGGACTTTGGGCACTAGATTTGAGCTGGGATACGTCAAATTTGCAAAAAATTGGAGTGAAAAAACCCCTGGTTTAATAGTTGGTCCAGAAATCTAAAGCCGGGACGGTTAAACTAGTCTTGTACTAATTGGGATCACTAGGTGGACCGCGGGAACAAGTTGGGCCATGAAATTACGTTGAGCCACGTGCAGGGCGTATGTGTGCGGTGCGGTTTGGCCTGCTTGGCCTTGGGCTGATGGTGTAATGGGCTATCATTGGGCTTAGAGCGCTTTAGGCTCGTGCTGAGTCATGGCTTAGGCTTATTCTCGCTTGGCTTGGGTTGGCTCGCCATAGGCATGGGACTGTGTAGGTTGGACTGGCGCTGGGCATTGCTGCATTGGGCCTGTAGCTCCTGGGCTTGCTGGAGCGTAATGATTTGGACTGCTTCGCATTGGGTTGGTTACCTGAGGCAGGCCGCCACAGTGGTGCCCATTAGGGGTAATGCCGATCCTTTAGTCATCATGTTAAGCCTCGTGGATCGTCATGGTGGGACTATGTCGTGATCTCCATCACTTGGTCCAGATCTTGGAACATAGGAAGTTTCGTTCGTCATGGTTTCTAAATTTCCTGTCATTGTACTTTTCTTTTATGTTTATTCAAAGAATTTTATAAAAAAATTCTGGGAATAAGAACGTACGAAAAATCTACGAATGAACGAGAAATGAGAAACCTTGAATGCGAGAGTCTTCTTCAAGTGTGTGAATCAAACTCTCAATGAAAGCATCAATTTGTGGATACAAATTTCCGCCATCTTCTCTTTTGACAAAAATGCACCTACAAAATAATAACACCTAAGATTAAGGCCAAAAGCCTCATGTGCCCATGATGAATGGGGTTGGGGGGGGGGGGCTGTGGCCAAAAAATCTTCAATGTCAAAGTTAGAATTTTGAAAAGAATGTATTTTGGAGTTTGTGGGTAGCAAATGACCTAGCATTTTAGTGGGATAAGAGCGGTATTTATAGGAGAGTGGCCGGCCATATATGGTGTAATTGGGTGAATAATTGCAAGTTATTTGCAATTAACATGGCAATTATTCCTAATTTAAATAGGAAGTTTTGGGAGTTACTTTTTGAATAAAATCAATAAGGGATTGATGAGGAGTGATGAGAGGAATATGAAATAAATTTCATATTGGTCACCTTTGACTCTTCCTTGATTGAGTCGTTATTGTCCATTGCATGCGCGTGAGAATTCCGATTTGCCTCAGGGGTAATCTTATCCTTCTTGTCTAAAAATTCACGTGTCACTTCCATGATTTTTAGGATTATTTTTGGCTCCATATAAAGCACAGAAAATAAAACTACAAATTAAAATAAAATATTATCAATCATGTCTTCAACATAAACTTTAATAATTAAATTCGGAGATGCAACCTGTGATATATGATTATGAATTTTAAGATATTTAAAGATGAACGTTCATTAAGAAATATGAATATTCACTGTATTATATAACAAATGAACCTTACGGCATCTGAATATGAATCTTATGAAATATATGAACATTATGATATCTCATTCTTATGAGTTTCGTGTTGATCATTTCACTCACCTGAAATGCCATCAAGAATGATAGTAATATCTCTGCACACTCCAATCTTGATCACAGTCTCTCACAATGTGGTTCAAGATTCTTGTGTGTATTGGTTTGAACAAAATATAAGAGTTTTTCGGATATTTAATAGATGTGTCATAAATATAGACAATATCTGACGATTTTAGCCTAAACTTAAGAGTTTCTTCAGTATGAGGTGAAGTTTAGACTTCACTTCCCATTTTCATATCTTTCTATAATTTTCTGGATATTTCTATGAAAATATAGACCATATCGAAGAAATTTAAACACTAGATTACATAATCGAAGAAATTTAAACACTAGATTACATAATCTACATCCAATAGAATCAAAGATACCAATTAGTACCATATAGTCCTGGCTACCCAACCTTCTTTACTCATGGCCCAAGCTCTACTGACATGGATGCAAATTACGCAACCTATATAAAATGGAGAAGACATCACGAATAATGTCAAGCAAGAGTAACGCATTATAAACGCATATAAAATACCATTTTATTGATGAAGGATGATCAATTTGGCCCAAGTGTTTGTTAGGACTTTCACCTTCATCCTCACCGTTTTAATTTGGAAGTAATATTTTTGTACTCTAGCTAATGTGACTAAACAATGCCTGGAAATTAATAGCAACTACAACAAGAAGTTTTATTTTATTAAGTGGGTTTGGCTGTATAAATTTTAGAATGTTTGTGTTATGTTTTGCACCAAGTCTATCATTAGTTCCAAATACTCTATATCTTTTCTTATAGTTACTTTCAAAGTCTTCTTAGTTCTTCCTTTATCCTTTTTGCTTTGAGCCTCCGTTTTAGAATCTTATCTTCTAACCAGTGCATCTGTAAATCTTCGGTTCACATGTTCAAACCATCTTAATCGATTTTCTTTCATCTTATCTTAAAATATGGTCGCTTCTACTTTATCTTGGATATTCTTGTTTCTAATCTTACTATTTCTCGTGTTTCCACACATTCAACAAAGTATTCTCATTTCTGTTACACTCATTAATGCCTTAAAATTAAGGGAACTTTAATGAAAAGCTCTCGGTATTGTTCATTTTAACAAAAAATCACATTTTTACACTAAAAAATCAATCATGTTACTATTTAATTTATTCTTTATTTTATCCTTATCGTTAAAACTCAAAATTTTCAAACTCTTTTCATTAGTTTTCTTTAAAATTAATGTTTTCATTTTTCTTTTCAATATCCAGAAAAGATATTGCCCGTTCTGCAAGTTGAAAACCAAGATGTATGTTGACACCGATGAGTCAAGGTCTTCATTGCACGTGGAACTACTACTACTCAGTACTCCAGTACAGTGCCACTTTGGATTTTGTACAATGTCACAAATCTCGAGGAAAAAGTCAATCTTTAAATGCCGTCTAGGTCTATGGGTCCAGAACACCAACCCGAAACCCTACCACCTATCAATGCTCCTCCTCTCCTCTTCTCTTCCCATATGCCCTTCTTGTCCTTCCGACCAACTGTCGGCGAGAATATTATATAATTCATAACAGGGTATTTCTGAATAAATAAACAAGTAAAATAACACAGTGTACGTGTTTGTTTTAGGCTGAGCTGTTTGTTTTATATACAATGATAAAGCTGAGCTGTTTGTTTGTACTTTCACTTTACAATTTGGAGGCACACGTATTTTGTAGTTTGATTTCATCTTTAGCTTCCACCCACCTTCCAAATGTCTCGAACCAATATCACTTGACTCTAGTCTCCATTTCCTACTTGTATATATATTGTTTCCCTCTAAACCTCTCTCACCACAAAAACCTCAAAATTTTAAGCCCTCTCTCTCTCTCTCTCTCTCTCTCTCTCTCTTGATCACATACAATTTACAGAAATATGGTTTCATCATCAGCATCAACTTCTCTGATGATCTCTCCAAGAAAACTAAGGTCAGATTTGTATTCTTACTCATACCAAGATGATTCAGAAACCCCACTAGTGGTTAATGTTCTTGCTTCTCTGATTGAGAGAAACATGGCAAGGAACCAGAGGATTGCCAAGAATTGCAGCAGCCTTTGGTACATGTCCAAGGACATGAAAAAGACTAGGATTTTTGAGTGTCATGAGACTCCTGACCTGACAATTCAGTCATACTTAGAGAGGATTTTCAGGTACACAAGAGCTGGGCCGTCTGTGTATGTTGTTGCGTATGTGTATATTGATCGGTTTTGCCAGAACAATCCTGCATTTAAGATCAATGTCACTAATGTCCATAGGCTCCTCATCACAACTATAATGGTGGCTTCCAAGTACGTTGAAGACATGTAAGTCTCTCTCCCCTTCCTTAAGTTCCCGAGATCCTATGATTGATCTCTTTCACAATATCGCTTATATGTGAACAAAAGTTCTAATATGAAGTATACATTTTTTTTCTTGACAGGAATTACAGAAATTCATACTTCGCAAGAGTTGGGGGATTGACAACCAATGAATTGAACAAGTTGGAGCTTGAATTTTTGTTCTTAATGGGGTTCAAATTGCATGTGAATGTGAGTGTGTTTGAGAGCTATTGTTGTCACTTGGAAAGAGAAGTTAGCATTGGAGGAGGGTACCACATAGAGAGCACATTGAGATGTGCAGAAGAAATCAAAAGAAGGCAAAACGAAGAGAGAAGATACAATCAGTTTGCTGGTGTTTTGCTGTAGTTCAAATGAGGGATATTTCTTTCCCCTTTTTATTGGGATTTTATCCTATACCATTCTTCTGTAAATATTGGTTTATAATATTTGTGAAAATGTATCATTTGGGTGGTTCAGGGAAGCTAATACAGAGTGTTGTCCTATTTTTTAGGTAAAGAAAAAGTACAATATTTAATTTCCAAATTGGCCTAATTATTGGTAACTGTGAAATCAAAGTAGAATAAGACCATGAAAGTGATTGAATTCTCCAGGTAAAAACAATGTGCAGCGGCCATTAAACACATCTAATTAATAGATGGAGGTGATGAGATTACTACATAATATAAGATATTTCGAATTTTTTAGTGTTAGATTTTTATTAAAAAATACAACAAAATAGGAATTACTCGTTAAAAAATTTTAGAATATCTCATATTACTCCACATCATTGTAAAATTTTGTGGAGACGACACTCTCTTAGTCTTAGAGCAGTTCCACCCCTAATACAAATGCACCAACACCCAGCGCATTTATCCACTCAGTGAACAATAATAGACCTCAATTGAACAGTAATAGGCCAAATGCATCTCCATCCCTAAAACTAAATAGCCTAGTCAATTTTATTAATTTTTATTATAAAATAATAAAATGACTTTTATTTTCTGACTTTTTAATAAAATAATAATAATAATATTATTATTAAAATATGCACGCTGAGCGAACCAAATTGTTATCCTCATCGTCCTCCTCCAATAAAACCAAAAGAGAGAGAGAGCTGAGAGTTTGTGCCGCATGCTGAGCAGCTGAGCTTTGGGGTTTAATTTCTGCATCTCCACCCCTACACTTCCCTTCCATTCTCACCGCCTCCTCCAAACCTCCACACCTCCACACCTCATGTCCTTCAAATATTTTTAATTTCTACATCTCACACCTCTTCATCGTCGAACCAAATTGTTATCCTCATCATCCTCCTCCAATAAAACCAGAAGAGAGAGAGAGAGAGAGAGAGAGAGCTGAGAGTTTGTGCTGCAGGCTGAGCAGCTGAGCTTTGGGGTTTAATTTCTGCATCTCCACCCCTGCATTTCCCTTCCATTCTCACCGCCGCCTCCAAACCTCCACACATCCACACCTCATGTCCTTCAAATATTTTTAATTTCTGCATCTCCACACCTCTTCATCGTCCGCTTCGTCCTCCCGTCCTTCTCCCTCCGTGGCTCCTTCCCTCTCGACACCCTCTCCTGCCTTGACCAGCTCCGCTCCTCAGCCTCCACAACAACTCCCTCTCTGGCGCAAAAAATAAAAATAAAAAAGGTGGTCGACATCACGCTGGTGTCAACATAGCGTCAGATGGGCTGGTCCCAAGGTTTGTCAATTTTGGGCTAGCCTGGAGACCAGCTTGGGCCAAGTGGCAGGCAATCTGCTGGGCTGGAAGGAGTTCCCTAGGTGTCGGGCCATTTTTTTGGCTGTGTGCTGGCCTATCCCACCGCCGATGGAAGTGCTCTTATGGAATTGCTGCCGTCCAGGTTGTTTTGGAACATTAGGGATGCTGGATAAGTTAAATAAAAGGATTCCTTAGTTCTTTTTTACTTTTAATTTGGTGAGGTGAACAAGTAGACAAATGAAGGCGGCTACTTTGGAAGTGTGTTAAGAAAAAGGTAACAAACATGACAAAAAGATGTAATTAAGAAACTACCATCCAGTTCTTAAAACTACATACTCACTTTCTCTATTACTCCACAAAAATCTTATTCATTTTAATTTGTTTCTTCACGCATGTGGGCTAATCAAAGTAACAGGAAAGGAAGAGATGCCATTTGTAAAGCACAAACATGAAGACTTGACCTTCTCCTTTGATCATTACTCTTGGGTTTGAATCCGTTAAACTGCATGTTGAACGTATTAAAAAGTTGCAAAGGATCAAGATTATGGTGGAGGATGCATCATTACCGACAAACGACAAAAATTAAGGAGGAAAAAGTGAAGAAAAAGAAAACAAATTGCAGTGGTGGAGAGGCCAAGTTCTTGGTAGGAGGAGCATCTTCTACCATTATAGACAGGCAAAGAATGATCAAAAGAGTACTTTTATTGTTAGTCAAAGATCAAAAGAGTACTTAAACACTATTTACTTCATCGTAAAATTGTTTTTATGCCTTGAAGGTCACTCATTTGATGTGGTTGCTTTTAGTTTTATGTTGTTAAACTCTTCGTTAATTCAACAGAAGGCAATGCTTATTCTTATTCACTATTCTCACATATCGTATGTATAATCAAAATAGAATCCAAGGAATGGAATTAACCTAAGAGACAAGGGATCTAAGGAAGTTAGATCAATGAGACATTTCTCTTATGTTAATTCCTAACACGTTCGTAGTCATAGGATTGTCAATCGGGTATTAACAATTTGCCACTAGTATGTATTATTTCAACACAATTGTGAGTATGACTTGTCTCAAGTCATCAGTGTTAGACATCAAGACAAACACATGGGTACTCAAAAGGTTATTGAGTTCTTTGAATAACGATTAACAAAGAGTTCTTATATACATGTCATGTAAGAAATCATAAGTTGCAATAATGCACAGTAATCATTTGACCTGAGATACCACAATTGCCTTTTGGGGACATCTTTGGTCGTTTAACAATGTAACAAAGACCATGCTCCATTTTGGGCATGTTCTAGCATTGTTTGGATCATTGATTTACTCATAGATATATATATATATATATATATATATATATATATATATATGAATGTACAACAAGGGATCTCTAACCCTTGATCATAGAAGGTGAATACTATGTGCTATGATTCAGAAGTCTTTGGCCAAAATGCATGAATATTATTTAGAAAGAATGTACCAAATCATATTCACATGAATTATAAATAAAATAATCACATTGGATAGTAGACATGAATGACTACCAACCAAACAATGTAATTAAGAGTATTGAATTAGCTAGAGAAGGACCGTATTGCATTGCAATTGTAATTGAATAGGTTCTTCATCACTTCTACTAAGCTTGGGTAGCCATGACATACTGATAGGTGTCACTCATGGTTTGTGGGAACTTGAAGATTAGCCATTACTAATCTTCATTATAGGGAGAATTAAAAGTAAGTTTTAATTCACAATCAATTAGTAAGAGTTACAATCGCCTATTGCCTCACTAACTAGAACCTAATGGATCAGAAGAATGAGATTGAAGAAATATAACATAATTAAATAGTTTAATTGAGTATGGTTGAGATCGTTAAAATTAGAAAGGCATATAAAAGCGGAACTAAGGCGTTAACACCATTAGGACTTTGTGAGAAGGAATTTGGAGGAACAGCTCTCCCTTTCCTCTCAAGTAGGCCGGCCATTTGGAAGAGATTTAGCTAGCACCAAATAGTCTCCTAGATCATCCATCTCCTATTCACATCTCACCCTCGTATGGAGACATAGAGATTCCATCCTTTTGGAACTTGAACATCCCATTCAAAACATCCATGGAGTAAAAATCCAAGCAGCAAGCAGAGAAATTGAAGGCCCCCCCTTGAGTGATAACCTTGTGAAAACAGACATGAGCTTTAAAAGTAAAAAGCTTCATCCTTCTTCTCTCTGTCAATTTGTGTTGGGTCATGGTTCATACTCACTAGCTAGGCTTATGACTTTCATGGATAAAGATTTATTTTGACTTTATGCTTGCATTATTTCCGCCTCTAATATTAATTTCAATGCATGTGTTGCTCAAAAAATTTTAAAATGGACAAAGTTTTTCCTTGAAAAATTTCACCGTCCTTACATATTACGGGCATACTTTTGCCACTACTACAATATTAGCTTTAGGTGTCAGATGATGGTGGCGGTTTAATAAGCCATTATGTCGGATAAAAGATATCCGACACATTATTAAGTTAGTGTCGGATAACAACGAAATCCTGTCGGTTATGTCCGACATAAATTCCTGGTGGATATTTAGTGTTGGTTGCAACCTCCATAAAATTATTATAACCACCAGTATTTTTGAATTCATTTTCTTAAATATTTTTAACATATTCTGGCGGTTTTTAAGTTAATTGTGGCGGTTATAACCGATAGAAATTGACTATTTTATTATTTTAGTTTCTGGCGGTTATTATTTTAGTATTATGGCGGTTATGACCAGCAGAAATTGACTATTTTATTATTTTAGTTTCTGGCCATTATTATTTTAGTATTATGGCGGTTATAACCGACATAAATTGACTATTTTATTATTTTTATGCCAAATATTTTTCAATTTGTTGTTCATTCAGATTTCTTGGTTAGAAAAAAATATTTTAGTTTGTGTGGTAAAATTTAAAATGTTATATATTGGTTAAAAAAGAAAAAAAAAACATGGTGTAAATATTTTAAATTGATGATCGAATTCATTCATTGCATTCTTATAGGGTCGAGGAGTGTAGTTATAAAAAATCATCAAAATAGAAGTTAAAATAACCGTTAAATTATGATTTTTTGTTTATAACCATCGAAAACTTTTGTTCTATTATCTAATCTCTGAATGTTTGTTTTTTATTTTTACGTATGCGATCTCAGAGTCTGTACAAACAAGTTTGAAGGTTGGATAGTTAAAAAACATTTCTTAGAATGCGTATTGCATCAAAACGGTAGATTAAACAAACACTTAGGGTTAATATTATACTTCCATTAAGTATAAAATAAGATTTTGTGATATTCACTAGTAATATTTTAAATTGAAGATAGAATTCGTTCATTGCATTCTTATATAGTCAAGGAGTGTAGCTGTAAAAAAATCATCAAAACCGGAGCTAAAATAACCGTTAAATTGTGATTTTTCGTTTATAACCGTTGAAAACTTTTGTTCCGTTACCTAATCTCTGAATATTTTTGTTTTTTTTATTTTTTATTTTGTGATTTTTTACGTATGGGATCTTGTAGAATCTACAAACAAGTTTGATGGTTAGATCATTGAAACTAGTTTCGTAGAATGCATATCTCCGTTAAATTTGCCTAAATTTTGAAGTGGGAAAAGTAATTTGTGCTAAATTTTTATTTATGTTTTTCAAGTATTGATTAGGCAAAATATAGTTTGTGTGATGACATTTTCATTGTACAATTATCTTTTTGTTTCTTTATCGCATATTTTACGTGGGTTATAATCTATTAAACCAAACAATTATTTATTTAAATTTTAAAAACGTATTCAATTTAAATACATATTATTTATTTATTTATTAAACCAAACAATTATTATTTTACTTTTTAAAATTGTAACAAAATTTTGGAGGGATTTTTTCCGCCATTTATTTTCTATCGGTTATAACCGACAGTAATGAAAATTTTCTATCGGTTTATATTTTAAAAAATGTTTTTGTCGGTTTTAACCAACCGTAATGAAAATTTTCCAAAATAAAACCCCTCCAACTCTTCCTTGTGCTGGTGCCTTCTCTCTTCCCCCTTAATTAAACCACACCCCCCCCCCTCTCCCCCCCTTTGGATGAGTTGTGAATTTGGATGATTTTTGAGTGAGGGATGTGTGAAACTGTTTATACTGTGGATTTGAAGGACAAATTGGATATGCGCTTGTGCCAATGATCACAAGGGGAATCATGCTCGGAGCGGATCAGCCAGTGATTCTGCACTTGCTCGATATTCCACCGGCTGCTGAGGCTTTGAATGGTGTCAAGATGGAGTTGATGGATGCCGCTTTCCCTCTGCTTAAAGGTAAATATCGAATAGAATTACTCGACTGATTTGTTATCTGTATATGGAACTGTGTTTTTATGTGTGTATGTTGTGGTGGAGTTTGATGTAATTGGCACTTGTTGTCAACATCGCCGTGATGGTCGGTGGCTTCCCAAGGAAAGAAGGCATGGAAAGGAAAGATGTCATGACAACGAACGTTTCCATCTACAAGTCCCAAGCTTCTGCACTGGAAAAGCATGCCGCTCCCAACTGCAAGGTAAAAAAATATTTAAATGTAACAAAAATTATTGGGTAGTTTGTTGATTTTATTAGGCATATGTTACTTGGTAATGATATGGATTTGTGCACGATTCAGATACACAACTCTATTTTCATGCAGATGGCTGATTTCGTCATTTTGTTTCAATGGTGTTATGCTATCTGCTCTGTTTTCAACGGTATTATGTAGTTGATCAACCCCCTTGGAAACCAAATAGCTTTTTATATTTTTTTTATTATTAATATATTTGCTGTCAGTTTTACTATTATTTATTCATTATTAATAAATTCTCTGTCGGTTATATCCGACACAAGTTTATGTCGGTTTTAGAGTAATTTCTGTCGGTTTTATCCGACAGAGAATGTTCTTATTTATTCATTATAATATATACTCTGTCGGTTATATCTGACACAAGTTTTGTCGATTTTAGAAGTTCTGTCGGTTTTAGAGTTTATCATAGCGATACTAATAAATGGTTTTGTAGTAGTGTGCGCCTCTTTCCCTTTTTCGTTCAACAGTATTTTCGAATGATGATGACACGTTTGAAGAGAATGAGTGCTATAAGAATATAGAGATTTTATCTTCAAAAGAAAATTTACAATAATCTTGAATCCCAATATTGACTACGCATCGCTGAGACCTTTCAGTAAAGGTAAAGCCTAATAACAATTTAGAAATAATTCTTAACATGTGATTCTTCTTTACCCCTTCTACATTTAGAAGTCGTTAATAACTTTTTTATGGTGAAATTTGTGTCTTGAATCCTACATGGACTTGAGCTAGCATTTTAGATTGGATATTAGCTTTTTACGATTTCTTCGAAACTATTCTGTGAAGGAGAAGATATTCCATCTTTAAGACATAAATTATTTTGAATAGATATGCGACAACTAAGTACTTAGTTCATGACCATTTAGTTTAGTAACATCAATTTTTTACTTTATTAGACAATGCACTGAGTTCAAATTCCATAGACAACAAATGTTGAATAATATATTAAAAATTGGTAGTTTTTTTCAAACAAGATGATGTTATGAAATACTCTAATCTATGAGGAAACATAATTGATTCGAGCGCAATGGGTGTCGGATACTGCATTTGGCCAATTAGACTCATCCATATCTGCATAAAAAAAGTAGTTTAAGATTTACATTAGTAAGATTAGAGAGATGCTAGTACTAAGTAGTTACTGCCCCAGCTACCGCAAGGCTCTGGAGCATCTTGTGAACACTTTCAAGCTCTAGACCTTTTCTGGGTGATCCTAGACATGAATAGCTGCACACCATACAACTGTTCGCTTTATAATGATTAAAAAAAATAAAAAAATAAAAAGTTTCTTTAATTTTGGTGGGTTTATGGATGATCGATCCACTATCTCAAGTTGACTATATAAAATACTTACGAAAATAGATCGATATGCCATGGTTGGTATAAGGACCAGTACTGCCTCAACATTTTGTTGATGATATTGGTGCGCGGGGGCCATTAGTATACAAAATAATATGTTGGTGGTGAGTCCTACAAAAATCTGAGGGTAGTCATGGTGTTGATACTTGTATATACCTCATTTCCTAGAAGCTGAAATATTCATATATTTTATAGTCAACTTTTTCATATGCAGACCAATTCCAGCTAGTGCATCTATCCAAACCTCAAAAACAAAAATAAAGATAGAGGAAAGAAGGATTAAGCTTTCGTAAAATAATAAACTAGTTGGTAAATAAAATAAAAGCTATAATAATATGAATCAGAAGTTTGCAGCACCATTGTTTACCACCCCTTTTCTGAATGACCAAATACACTTTAAAATCCTCACTGCACTAACATTATCATAAGCTCATAACACAACAAAAACTGTCTCCCACTCTACAAGTAATACCTACAAGTAATCGGCTACAACCTTATATTAAAACGCTTCACTGCACCTATGTAATAATTCCAACAGTTCATTTTTTTTATCATTTAAAAATTATTTTTAGAAAATTTATTTAATTTACAAACCATTTAGCAATCCATATGTGTCGAACAAATCGATGATTACAATAACAAACAATATCTTAACGATTAACCATCTGAATGATCTTCAAATCAAATGAAACTTATTAGAGATAATCTTTACACAATGATAAAGAGAATGAATGAGTCAGATTATGATATTTATATAATGAGATTATGTTAGGAATGGCTCGCAGTGTCCCCTCTATATATGTTCACCTAATTTCCAATATACAATCAGTGACTAATCTAATTCTCAAATAACACACACTCTCTCTCATCCGGTACCGAGAGTTATAATTTGTGCCTGCTATATATGTACTTTCCTTGCTAACATATATAAGGCAATCTAATTTCACTTGCCTGATTCATATTTCTCAGATCCTTAGTTTCACTTAATTTCTTGGATCCTTTTAGTACTGCTTTCACATTAATTAGGTTCCTTGATCAAATTGTTTAGTATATTACAAGAACTGGTTGTCCATGTTACAAAGCAGGTAGGAATGTGAAAACATCAATATATATTACTAGATCCACCTATCCCAAGAGAAAGCAACATTGCTCACCCCTATCATGTTCTCAAATATCCAACAAAAATATACACATAATCAGCATCGTACGTGGGTCTTCTCTTTTATTATGTTGTAGACTCACATTTTAATCATGGATATTGTTTCATTAATAAATTCAAGAAAATGTAATGTATGTAGCACCACCCTTATTTTTAATTCACGTTAAAATTTAATTAATAATTGAACAAATCTTCTCGTTTAGGTTATTCTTTCTATTTCCAACCATTCAAAATGGAAGAGAAGTTTGAACTTATTTTCGGTAATCTTGAATAAACAATATATATGTTTAATCGTAAACGATACTATAGTATAAACAAATTATCGTCAATGACAGGGGAATCTCTTTTATGTTCATATAGACATATTGTATTTGGTTAAATAGACACAAAATCAGATGTTAATTTGGTCTATGCCTCCAAGTCCACGATCATTTACCTTTTTTTTGTGTTTTTTTTTTTTTTTTTTTTTTTTAAGGAAACGATAGAATTTCATTGCTAATCAGCCACTTACATGGATGCTAGTTGGGTACAAATGCTCCAGTGATCAATTGCTTGATCTGGAGGTAATAGGCACAAATTACAAATAATTGAAACCCCTAAATGGCTGTCACACAAATCACACCTTTGCAACGTCTTCAGAAACCAAAGGAAGATTGAAGGGCGAATTGACTAGGGTTTGAATAATAAGCAATTGGGTGAATGATTTTCTAATTGCTCTCATTGTCAACAATACAAGGTATTTATACAAATACAAGACTCAATTACACCTATTTCTAAGGCTAGAAATTCGTGATCCACCTTTGGTGGGATTTGATCTAAACTAAATTGTGGGTGCAAATTTCCGCCTCCTTCTTCTTGGACAAAATTGCACCTACAAAACAATTAACACCTTAGGGTCAAGGCCAAGAGCCTCACGCGCCCATGATGAATGGGGGGGGCTTTGGCCGAAGAACCTCCGATGCCAAAGTTAGAATTTAGAGAGAAAAGTGTTTAGAGAGTTTTTGGAGTTTTGCAAGAGTGTGGACTTAGGTTTTTAGAGGAAATGAGGTTGAATATATAGTACATGGCCGGTCCCCCTCTTGAGTAAAGGTCGGCCCTTTGGGGTATTTTTGTGTGAAATGGGTGATTTAATTGGTAATTAATGGATTAATTAGGAATAAATCCATTGATTAGCCAATTAACTCAATTTATATGAAATGTTTTGAAGGTTATGAAATAATTACCTTGTTGGGCTGCTCGTAGGAAAGGGCAGCAGGTGTAGAGATTTTCTTGCTTTAGGAAACGTAGGATTGTTTCCTATTTTGATGTTGATTCTCTCTTTAATAGGAAATTAGATCCTTCTAGGAAAGGGAAATAAATTTCTCTCAAAGCCTATTTAAGTCCACCTTAAGTGGGTTATCAAATCAACTTTGGAGAACAATTTATTATACCCTACAAGAGAGAGAGAGAGAGAGAGAGAGAGAGAGAGCTTAGAGGATATTTGTTCCCCCTCCTCTAGCAATCTTCTACATCTTGCCCATGCAAAGGATCATCTTTCGTTGCTTTCTTCGTCTTCTCCACGCCGCATCGAGGTAAGAAAAAATTAATTTTCCTTGTCTTCTTCTTGGATAGTGTTGTCATGGGGCAGCTGTCGGGGTGGTACGGCACGTCGGCTGGCAAAAGCCAGGAGCCGGCTCGGCATGGGCCAAGAATGTGTTGTGGCAGGGACCATTGCTTGGGCTGCTTGGCTTGGCTAGAGCCAAGGGTAGCTTGCGCGGATTGAGGTGCTGAGGTGCAGTGTTAGGCGAGCCACATGGTTTATGTCCTTTGGGCTCTTAGACTTGACGGGGGCTAGGCTGGCGATTGAGAGAGATGAGGAGGTCAATGGCCTCATGGGCTGCTGGAATGCTGGGTATGCAGACCTCCTGCCTGCTGGTCTGAGAGAAAAAATGAGGAAAAAACCAGTATGGGTTGAGTTCCCTTCCTGAGTACCGTGAATAGCGTTGGTTGCTTAGTTTTCTTCGTCGAAAGAAATGTAGGTTGCTTCCGAGATAGAAGGTAAAGAGGATCAAGGCGGATACTTTGGCTCGTCTGATCGCTGTCATGGAGCCTACTGTGAATGAAGGTGTAAAGAAAAGATCTTCCCTGTTTGCTCAAGAGATGCTGGTTAAGAAAAAACTGAAGACTTCCTTCGCTGTTCATGAGGGTCTGCCTGTTGTCGAGAGGCTTGTGATTGACATGACTTCTCCCAATGGGAAGACAAATGAGGCCGCTAGATTTGAGCCTATGGTGCCAGCTATATCGAGAATGGCTAATTTGATTGCTGATAGTATTGCTCAGTGTAAAGGTCTTGTCATGCCCCCAGTGCCGAAGTCTGTGCCAAGATGTCCGTTGGGAGCTAAATCCGGTTCTCATTCAGAAATGCTTGCTATTATGAAGAATGGTAAGGTGGACTCTGCTGCTAAAATGGCGTTAAGGCCCATTCTCTTTGCTGCTGAGATTAATTCGCCTGCTGGGAAGGAGAAGACTGCTTGCGTGGGTAGCTGTGAGAAATCCATTATGCTTGCTTCTGGGGAAGCTGCTGAGATTTGTGTGCTCTTGAAACCAGATCTGCTTGAAGACATAGATGCTTGTGCCAAATTTGTCAATGGCATTAGAAATGTTT